CTGTGGGGGAGGTAAATTCCCAACATTGTATGTATAGGTTGCTTCCATTCATTGTAAAGGTGTGATTTCATTTTCAATTGAATGAATTAAGTTTTTCCCGCCGTTCATTTCCTATCAATTCAGATTATTCATTCAGATTTCAACATGGTATCAGAGAAAGAAGCTCCTTCCGTATGCGACTCTATTGTCTTCTTCTTCTTCTTCTTCTAAATTATATCAGTGATAGATGACGAGAGACTCTAGTGTTCAGGCAGAGGTTCAAAGTCAATTTAAGCAGACAAACTCATTCATCGAATAGTCAGCTGAAGATGCAGCTGGAGGAGATGCAATTTCTATGATCAATCGGCTGATGAGTGATCCAAGCAGCCCTTACTATCTTCATTATGAAGACAATACTGGAATGTTCAACATCTTCCATATAGAATCAATCCAAGTTTGGAGAAATTTTCAACCAATTTTGAGTACACACTAAGGCCTCCACCATTGTAAGGCTTTGAAGAACTACAAAGTGGATCGAGAATTCTTCCTCCGGTACTAAAAACACTTTTTGAAGCAACAGTTGAACTTGAATTGCCAATACATCCCTGACTAGATTGGACAAGATACCATATTTACTTTTGTTAACCTTCCACCAATCGAGAACATCAAAATCCTTGTTCTCTATACTTTCACGAGTATCTAAGAAGTATCTTTTCACATCATTTTTTATCTCAATACAATCTTTTGCTGCACGTTTTTCCGAAAAACCTAGAAAGACTAGCATCGCCCATAGAAGAAAAACTGCCTTTATTTGAATTAAATGAACCTAAAGAATCCCCAGTTGATATTTGACTACTTCTACGAACTCCTTCACATCCCACATACCACTCATAAATAGACATTAGATTGGCTTTCAAAGCCTTAATTATGCTACTAACTACTTCTCCATCCTTTCATAGATCAACAAAACAATATTATACATAATCCAGTTTGTATCTTGAATAAAAATAGTAGCAATAAGCAACAACTAGTTCACATTTTCCATTTTTACCCCAATACTTATCAAATTTCTTCTAATAAAAATATCTGCTTAATCTCCATTCATCCAATTTGATTATTGTTGCGCAATGGCTCAAAGATAAAGCAAGTACCGAAGCCCATTTTGCCAAAGACCATTGCCGAAGGCCAAACGTGCTTCTGAGGTATTATTTGCCGAAGCCCACTATATTTCCGAGGCCCAATGAAGGTAGAAACATTGAAGAACTACTAGTTTAAACCGAAGCTGCGAAATCCATACCTCAAGACGAGGCTCAACGACGTAGATTTCGAGGCTCAAACATGACCAATGATGACCAACATCGGAAAATCTTAAAGTACCAAGGATCTTCTTGGAATGATTGATTGGACAGTTGCAATAAATGGAAAGACTAGTCATGTCAACACAGGGCATGGGATGGCTGCCCTCTTCAG